GGTGCCCACAGTCTTTTCGTCTTGCAACTAGTAACTGCACTGACATGAACCACACACCACAAGCTGCCTTTTCTATGACACCCACCAAGTTATAAGCAAAGGTAGGAAAAGATGTTATTCTTCATTGTTTTCCCATGGGTCCAGCACAGTGTCTGACTCAAAACAAATATTCAATAAATGTTTACTGAATCAAACTGAATACTTAACAGATGTAAATCTGATTTCTTGGAAACTATATGAATAGCTACGTCTTGCTCCACCACTGGAGCAATTAATCCATAACAATGACAAAAACTAACACATGGTCAGCTCTTGGTTAGTCACATTAATGGTGTGTGGTGATAGGGATAAGCTAAGAATTGTTAATACAGGTATTTTCACCATTTTCGGTTATGTAAGCATACAGTATACGCGACTTCTGCAGTGCTAAAAACTCAAGATCAAAATTATCTCTCCTATTGATCTGACACAGTGCCAAAAACAGTATCTTGAGGCTCTTTTTGACTTTCCACTTGATTATAACATTAGATTTCAGGGAAGCACTGCACAGTCACTAATTGAGTGTTCAATCATCAATTCATTCAACAAGTATTTAATGAAGGCCCACTATATACCAGGTACTACAGGTAAAATCATTACAAGCCTAAACTCTATACATTAGAAAATTTTGGTAATTGCTTAGGAAGACCTAGAAAACCTGGGAAAGCTGATGAGGTCGATATAAATGTTTGTATTATTATGTAATCCAATAAAATAATTGTCATGCTAGCAAATCTGAGAAAGGATCCTGTGACATTTCAGACTTGTCAGACAATCAAATTCATCCAGCTGACTCAGGAAGAGGCAAGGCAGTTTTCACAGTTATGGGACAGACACTCATGCGCCTTTTTTTTTTTTTTTTTTCTTATTATACTATCTAGGAAGTCATTTACTACTGCGTCCTAAACTCCTCTTTTTGCTGTCTCACTCAAGAACGATGGAGCAGTGACTTCTGAACAACCAAGGAAATGGAACCTGCCTTGACCTGGAGTAGAGTTGTTGTTAGTGGCTGTAGACTCGATTCTGATGCATGACGACCCCATGTGTGCAGAGTAGAACTACACTCCATAGAGTTTTCAAGGCTGTGACGTTTCAGAAGCAGATTGCCAGGCCTGTCTTCCAGGGTACTTATGGATTGGCTTGACCCACCAACCTTTTGGCTAGTAGTCACGTGCTTAACCATTTGCTCCACCCAGGGACTGCTCGAGAAGATTATGAAGTAAAATAATCACAGTGATCTAAATTCACTTAAACTTCTCTCTCTTCTCTCTTCTCAGATACATAAATCTGGCACGCTAGGGAATGGGGAGGAAAAAGACTAGGCCATACACAGGAAGACTGAAGTCAAAGGATATGACCTTTACCTTCCTCCAGGCCCTGTGCTATGCACAGGGATGGCACAGTGGTTAAGAGTGCAGCTGCTAATCAAAAGGTCAGCAGTTCGAATCCACCAGCTGCTCTCTGGAAGCCTTATGGGGCAGTTCTACTCTGTCCCATAGGGTCGCTATGAGTTGGAATTGACTCAACGGCAACAAGTTTTTTGGTTTTTTTGTTCTATCCCTTTCCAATTGGAAAGAATTCTAAGGAAATAGGATACAGAACAAGAAATTTTTGACTGAAGGGAAGATTCAGAAAAGGATTCCTCAATTCTTTTGGAAAGAGACCTCATAGGATTATCTCAGAATGGATGAATGACTCTAAAGAATTTCTTCCCTTTTTAAAATGCATGGTCCATTTTATTAATATGCTGCATTAATGGTCAATAAAATGCTTATTTTGGGAAGTCATAAAATTGCATTTATGCTTATAAAAGTCTGTATAAGTCAGGAAAATAAGAGTCTTAATAACAGAGAGAAATTAATTTTTTTTTCATTTTTAGACCCTAGTACTTCTATACTGTGGTAAAATGACTTCCTAGATAGCAAGGAAAGAAAATTACAATAAATCATCACAAAAGTAAAGTGTCCATAAAGAAACGTGCATTTGAATAAGCACCAAAAATCAAAGAACACAACTGTTCTATCTGAGGTGACCATTTTCCCCATCTGCTCTTTATGTCTATTGCCCTGGCATGATTATTAATCGTGTCCACTTGCACTCTCAGTGATGGCACCGTTTGGACAATAAGTCATACATCACCCTATTTGTAGATAAAATGATTGCAAAACATTCTTTGACAAAGAAAACGTCAAGGTTTTCAGAAACACTGGTGTGTATAGAGGAGCTTTGTACAACCTGCTTTTAAAAAGATAATAACCATTTTAACTTTCAGAACTGTAAAGTAGGAAGGACTGATCAACACTGAATATGAATATTTCTGAAATTTCCTCAGACATGAGCACAGAGCTCTGCTTGCAACCTATATGTGAGTTTCCCTCTCCACCTCCACCCCCAATCTAGGGATCCACCACAGTGGCACAGTGATTCAGCATTTCTAAGGCATTCATTGAAATATGCTTGAGAGCAAGAAAATGAGGGGAGAAAAAAAGGTACACATTACATAGATATAAAAATCAAAACTTTCTTTTATAAAAGCAAAAAGAAGATGAAATTCTGTACTTTCTCTCTTGCTGAAACACAGCAAAGCAGCCAAACTGACAGGTATGTCTCTTAGCACATCATTAGTCAATTCGTCCTTAGAAACAGCAGAGAGCATATGGAACACGTTTTTTTTCCTAACTAGTACAAGAGAAGCTTAAAAACAGAGGCTGAAAAAAAAAAGAAAAAAAAGAGAGAGAGAATTTTTAGGGAACCCATCAGGTAAGAATACTGTTTGTGCCTCTATAAGAGCACTGTTAATAGTCTTGCTTATCTCGTTCCGTGTCTCCTGAAGAAGAGATGGCTTTTTCATTTTATCTTTGAATCCTTAGCATGGAGCTTTCCATGTGAGCTATATGCAACAAATGTTTGTTGAATTAAACTAATAAGAAGAGAAGAAAATGCTTTCAAATATCATTTTCAGGTAAACATTATAAAAGAAACCCAACCATCATGGGGAGTGGGGATAGGAAGGTAAAATCATTCCAACCGCAAGTAGGTATTCCATAATGAGAAATCTATTCCTCTACGTTAGTGGTCGGTGAAGTTTTAACAAACCTTATTATCACAAAAATTCAGATATATTGTAGTCAAATCATGTCCCCAAATAAGGATAGACTACAAGGCAAGTATTAGTCATAGGCTTCAACGCTTCAGTTAGAAAGAGGTTCCACTGAAATTTCTTTCAAGCCTCAGCTCAGGAGGGCTTGAGCATTCATTAAAATAGGCTTGGAGCAGGTTTGCTTTTTTGTTCTTTTCTTTTCCTCCAGTATGCTATGCAAAGGTACTAGAGTTTAAGAACCAGTCACTTAACTGTGTTTTTGTTGTTAGTTGCCCTTGAGCTGATTCCAGAGGGCCTCATTAATTAATAAATATAAATGGGCCTTTGTGCATTTTATCAAGAGGGCCTTGGGTTTCTCTTCCTTAAAGACACCACCCAGTCCTCCTATCAATAAGACAAATGGGTAGACATGATCTAGGAGTCGTCAGCCCATTAAGTTACATAGGAACTTATGCGAAAGAGGGCTGTCAGAAAACAGAGACCCATTTATCTCATCCAAGTTGGGTACCAGACACTTGACAACGGTATGAAACAAAGTTAACTTCTCCAATAATATTAAATAGGAAGGAAACTTTTCTTCAGTGATCTGACCTATAAAAATACAAAAACTAAATATTCAGGCCTCCTGAATTTTATATTATCTGCCATACGACCTTGGGATAGTCACGTAAAAGCCTTAGTTTTCCATTTCCCCGTATATAAAATGTGGATAAATACTGTTACAATCTATTTATCTTATAGAAAATAAAGTTTAAAAAATGATGTAAATCACAGATCCTTTTCTTAAATTCTAGAAGTTTAGACAGTTACCACTTTTCTCAAATGAACAAATACACTTCAAAATGAAATATTTAACATACAAGCTCTATGTTCTGTCTCTGATAAAGAAGTGAAGCATTAATGATAACCCATTGTGAAAAATCTGTCCGGTGTCTACGATGTTATTAATTCAAATAAAAAATAAACCAAAACCAAAAACCAAACCCATTGCTGTCGGGTCTATTCCGACTTACAGTGACCCTACAGGACAGAGTAGAACTGCCCCAAAGGGTTTCCAAGGAGGGGCTGGTGGATTCCAACTGTCAACCTTTTGCTTAGCAGCCGAGCTCTTAACCGCTAAATTCTTTGGATATTAAGCATCTTTATCTTCCATTTAATGCTCTTTTAAGATCAGTGCTACTTTCTGAACAAACCTGAAAGTAGTGTAACTTCTCACAATCAATGCAGATTAAGTCTTGAAGGATTATAGCAACCAAAACCAGTTTCTATATTATGTAAATAATTTGTTTCTGTTCACCATAATCCTTCAAAATGTCACATTGTTTACTTACTGATAACATAATGAAAACAAGTATTTTTCCTACTGATCAGTTAACGAAAGAAAGAGGTTGTTTAAACGCTCAATTTTTAAGTGAAAGACTGATGGGGAAACCGCAGCCAAATATCCTTAGAGCAATTTTAGGTATGCAGATTGAAAGCAGTTTTTATATCACAGAAGGTAGAATACTGCATTCTTATATAAATCGTCACAGAAACAAGCCAGGATCATAAACATATTCACTTAACTATAGTTCAGTGTCCAGTGCACCTGAAAGATACACAGATCATATTTCAGCTGTTAAGTTTATGAAGTTGTAAGAAAATTACAGTTCCAGTTCAGAGTCATAGAAGAGAAACAAATTGCAATCCTATCCCAGTAGATCCCAGCTTAATTCCCTCTAGTTTCTCCCTTATCACAGTATTAATTGCTTTCCTAATAAAATGCTGCAGTAAAATTCGTGAAATACAATTCCCGAAGAAAATCAAATCAAAGGAAAACCCTTCATGGCAACTACTTTTGCATACCTGTCCTCCTGCCTACCTTGTTATGTTTTTGCTGGTGTCTTGTCTTTGTGTCAAGAACATGGTAGGGGCTTTCTGAGTCTTGGTTGATGTAATATATGAGTCTTGAAGGCAGTGTGATTTCTTTCTGCATTGCATTGCTGTAACTGTTATTACTGCTGCTATTCTCTTGCAATGTATTGTCTTCATCTGCCAGGACTCCCAATTTTTTTTCTGCAGTTTCATTCCAATGCGGAGCTGAAGTGGGTAAAGCACAAGCATACACACACACACACACACACACACATCATAAATACATAAGTACTAAAATTATTTTTCTATCAATTGCAAATGCAAATTTTCTAAATATAAGCAGGTAAAAAAGTGGAAACATAGTAAAGCAAGTCATTGCAACTGTGAAATGGCCTGGATAGGTTAACATAGTCAATAAGATTTATACCATAACATACTGTTTATTTTTATTTATGTATTATATTCACATGTTCTAACCAGTCTCATAATCTATACTTCTAAGTATGGAAGTGGGGAGCAGAAAGGACTTGAGGTAAGAGTCACTGAATGAACCTTCTCGGGGGTTCATTTTGACCCTCATCATCGCTTCTCCTTCTCTGAGACTACAGAAACTCTACTGTACTCTGCCTAGTTGTACCCTGTCTGAAAGCTGTGAACGCTCCTAAGATAACTTGAGGGCTGAATTCATGAACAGGGAATGTTAATTGATTCTTTTAACATAACGGACAATTCCCTTTTCTTTTAACTTTGAAATGAGCAAAAATTCTTTGCCATAGAGAGATGCAGATGCTGGCAGCTTTCCAATTTCTTTTTTGTTTCTTTCTTTCTTTCTTTTTTTTTTTTTTTGATTTCCCTTCCAAGCCCAGCCTTCTGCTTTCAGTGATTTCCAGTCATCAATATATTGAACATTATTTTATTTTACTTGTCCATTATAAATGAGAAGTATTTTGAGAAATCACAACCAAAGGTCGGTATTTCCGGAATATCCCTCCCAACCTCAGTTTCAACAGCAGTGAACAAAATCGGTAGGAAATTTGAGGAAACGACCCAGTACCACTATTCTCATTACATCCTTCCCACATTCACATTAAGATTCATCACTCAAGAAGCAACTTGTGCCCTCGCTGCATTCCCCATGCACTGGTTTCCCTTTAGCCAAGTTGCAAAGAGATCGTTGAGGGAGCCTGGAGCCACGAAATACCTTCCAGTGGCACCAACGGTAATTGGAATGGGTTTTTAGTGAATGGAACAGAAATGGTCTTCAAAAAGTGAACTGGAACGAATAGGGGTTTGGGAATGACAGGGGTAGATTGGGAGGCATTGGGAAGGCCGAGTCAGAGACGTGTCTGGAGCGCACGGCCCCGCTTGCCCTTCGCTTTCCTCTGCAGGGCCCCACGGGGAAGGCAAAGCAAAGGGCACCGGGGCCATACCCACCGCTAGCTGCAGCAGTCCCCCAGACGCGGGGCTGGGACGAGGCGGCGAGCGGAGGCAGCAGGAGAAGAACGAGGATCAGGCGACAGGGCGGCGCGCGGGCGAGGACGCGAGCCGGCGCAGGGCCGGCAAGGCGGCCGCGGGAGCTGTGGGAGGCTACGAAGAGGCTGTAGCCCGCCAGGGGCAGCCGCCTGGAGCTGCTGCCTGGCGGCTTCATGGCTCATAGCTCCCGGGCACCGCTCTGTGTGGCCGGCAACAGCGCCGGGCTGGGCTGCCGGCTCCCAGGGCGCTAGGGGCGCGCGGGGAGGCTGCGGGCGGAGCCGGTCACGCCGGCTCGGCGCGCATGGTGCTGCCGCGGGCTCGGGGCTCAGGGCTGGGCAGCGCCCCTTTTCCTGCTCGCCTGCAGCCCCTCCTGGGCCGGGCAACTGAAAACTCCAGAGGTCCTCGCCGCACCGCCAACTTGGAGCCTCCCCAGCTGCTGCTCCCTCCCCGCGGCGGGCGCGGCCACTCCAGCGACTGCGGGGGCTGCCGCCGGGGCTGAGGATGCTGAGGCGGCGCGCGGGAGCGAGCGGCCTCGTGGGCGCGCAGCTTGGGCGCGCTTCCCTCCTCCAAGAGCGCGCCTGAGCGCGGCTTCGGGTCCTGATGCTGCTGCTGCTGCGGCGGCGGCTGCTGCTGGGGCTGCTGCTGGGGCTGCTGCTGGGGCTGCTGCTGGGGCTGCTGCTGGGGCTGCTGCTGGGGTTGCTGCTGGGGCTGCCGCCGCCGCCGCCGCCGCCGTTGCCTGGCACGCGACGCACTGCGCATGCTTTATTGTGGGAAAAAGAAAAATAAAAAAGCAGCAGGGTGATGCAGCATCCCAGACAGCCTTAGAGGTGACGGTAGCACCTCTAAAGGTGGGGCCGGTGGGGGCGGAGGAGAAGGGAGCTGGAAGTCAGGGATGGGCCGGAGGGAAAAAACGAAGAGTGCGGGGCTTCCAGGCCAGACACCGATATGATCTGAAGAAAACTATCAGCTAGAGAGACTTGCCTTTTCCACCACCCCGAGATCTTATACACCCCCTCCTATTCCAACCACCACCTGCTCAGGAAAAACTAAGGCCAAGCATTTCCTTCTTCATCCTTTATTTATTTCCCTCCTGCAAATAAATATAAAGGACTGAGCTGGGGAGGTAAAAATAGCACTGCTCTTCATTCAGTTCACCCTCAGCGGATGGGAGAAACTAGGGAACCACGTTTGCGCGTCGCAGGCTGGCCCGCGCGCTGACGCGGAGCGGCCCGGCGGCTAGCGGGTCCCCCTGCGCAGGAATCCTCTGTGCCCGGGTGCTCCGCCCTAGCCTGTGTCCTCCCCGCCTGTTCCTGGGGGCTTTGCGGAAACAGATAAAGCCAAAAGGTGTTTGCGCAAAAGTTCAGGAAGTATAACTGGGCATATTCGGGAAGCAGTTAGAAAATCTGGCGGGGAAGAAATACGAAGATTAGAAACCAAGTGAATGGCAGCTATCGTGGGGAATCCAACGTTTGTCATTCATGGGGGCAAGCATGCGTTTAAGAGGACACATTTCGAATTTTGAGATTCAGTCCTGATTTCTGCAAAGAAAAGAATTTTCTCTCGCTGTTGCAAAAAAAAAAAAAAATGCAAATCTGGGTCCCCGATTTAGGTAGGTTAGCAACCACTAAGTCTGATGTTTTCAAATTAGAGCCTGTATGTAGCATATTCCTGCCCCAAAACTCCCACAATGCAATCATTCGTTTATTCACCCTCCCAACAACAGTCTAACTAATAACATAATGTTGTCTTACTCCATTACTTATATTTAAAATGGAAATAGTAACACTTACTTTTGGGGGATCAAGAATTCCATGATTAAAAGTAAAAATGTGGGTAAAAGCACCTGCCAGGCATTGAGGGTTAGCCATCTCTCCCCCCCACACACCAATTTAACAAAGAGGGATGAGAGACAGACAGGCAGACAGACACACGCGTGCGCACACGCACACACACACACACACACACACACACACACCTGAGATCACAGAGCTGTTAGAAAGTTAAACATTAATATTAGCTCTTCATCTCTATATCACGGCTTGGAGGTTAATTTATTATCATGACTTTATTAATGTAAAGTTGTACTTAATGCCACCTCCTCTCTATGAGGGCAGCAACAGTTTTTCTTTTTGCTCAACATTGTGTCCTCAGGACCTAGCACAGTGTTGGTGGCACAACGCAGGCACTCAGAAAATATGTGGTGAATAAATTAGTGGATGGTACGCATAAGCAGGGGTCACACTTGGGGCAGGCTGGTGAACATGCCCACCTCCCTGTAGTTCCTATTTGCAGGTCAGTGTTCATGGGGATGTCTCCCTTAATGTAAGCATGTCCTCGCCAGATTCTCCCGGTTTGTATTTGATATAATGTATTCCTCAAAAAGGACCTGGAGTACAACCACTTTGGAAATCGATTTGGCGCTTCCTTGAAAAGCTAGAAATAGAAGTACCATAGGATCCAGCTATCCCGCTCCTTGGACTATATCCTAGAGAAATAAGAGCCATCACACGAATAGATATATGCACACCCATGTTCACTGCAGCACTGTTCACAATAGCAAAAAGATGGAAGCAATCTAGGTGCCCATCAGCAGACGAATGGATAAACAGATTATGGTATATCCACACAATGGAATATTACGCAAAGATAAAGAAAAACGATGAGGCTGTGAAATATTGTATAACCTGGTGGAAGCTGGAACTTATTATGCTGAGTGAATTTAGTCAGTCACAGAAGGACAAATACTATATAAGACCACTAGTATAAGAACTCAAGAAAAGGTTTAAACA